ACTTCTCAATAAAAATAAATCTTTAAAAAAATAAATAACAGTGAGAAAACTCAGTTTTCAGGGAGGAAATGCTTTTTTCAGTCAAAGGAATCTGTAGAGGTTAAGCTCCCATGGTCTCTGTCCTATTGATAGATATTCACAGTAAGAGAAAAGGGGCACAGGAAGTGGCAAATGAAGTTCTGAGGGAACTGGGGAGGACATGCCAGGAAGGCCGTGCCGTTGGAATTCGAGGCTGCTGTGTCTGATTCAGTTCCAAAAGAAGCCGGAGTTCAGGAGCCTAAGCTTCAGGATGAGCCAGCTCTTTGGGGAACAAGGAAATGAGACTTTCCAAGGCAAGAGCACAGATTGAAGTCACCCTCCTGCAGGCGCCTCCAGGCTTCCGTCCACTGGACCACTCTATACTTGATCTTAGCCAAAAGACTGAGAAGTGACCGGCTGGATCACTCTAAGATCAGAACTGCATGGGGACAGAGCCTGGCAGGTTGAGAATTGGCAGTACCAGGAACTCACCGCATTTTTTTAAATGCTGCTTTAAATTTTAATTTTTGAACTTTTCATGATAGGTCTCTTCAAGCCTAGGGAGAGAATATAACGGAGTGCCTGGAGCTCAACTGGCTAAAGCAAAGTCAAGTCCTTATGAATGGGGCGTGTCTGGTTCTCAAAGGAAAAATTTTCATAATTAGTAAATGCTTTATTATGAAAGAAAGTAGCACCTGGCAGAACCACAACTAGCCCATGAGTCCTGGTTGCCTTTCCCTGGTTGATAAGTTCTCGCAGTGCCTCAAGTTTCCTGCGCCCACCTTGGCCACTTCACTTCAGGCTCTCCCCTGGCCCCACCCCTCACCCTAAATGCCACCTGAAGTCCCAGAATTCTAATGATTTCCCATGCTCTTGACATCATGTCTGCCTTTTCCTATAAACAAGAGATTCCTAGTACCTGCCTTTCTAGGGATCTGTGATAATCATGGAACTAGCCTTTCTCAGTCTGTAACCATGTGATCTGATTGCTAGAATTCCAGGCCCAGTGAGAGAGGAGGAGGGATTGTGCTGGAAAACAACAACAACAAAAAAAAACCTTTGGCAAAGATGAAGCCTTTTGACGTCTTTCAGCACAAGCCCTCACATGTGATGTCAGTAGAATATACCTTGTGGCTAAGGAGCTGCAAACTTAGTTGAACCTGTGCACTGACCCTCATCTCTGACAGGCTTGTTGTTTTGGGGCTCTCCTAGCTCCCCCAACTGCTGCTTCTATTGCTGTGGGTACTGAGCTTGAATTTGAGACATGAAGTGGGAACAATGTCTGAATTTGATAATTCTGCATTTTTATGTCCTCCACCACCCCCAGAGGACAGTCAGAGGAGGGAGCCAGACATTGAAAGTGTTCTTCTGCACAGGTTATTTTTAGGTCCTGTCTTGCCAAGACTGCTTCTGCTTTTATTTTGACACAAAGCAGACCCTTACCCTCTCAGGTGAATTTCCAAAGTAACCCCAGAAGAGTGATGGGAGCAGGGGACTTCACATACATGAAGATTCTGGGTCAGCTCTTCCTTTACAAGACTTATTTTAACTTTAAAAGATGACAGTTGGTGTGAGCAGTAAGGCAGAGGCCCCTTTCACTGGGTGTGTGTCAGTTTCCTGGTCTACATACCCATCTCCAGCTAGCTCCAAACCAGTCTTGAGTAAGGTGTGTCCAAAGCCTGACCATAAGCCAAGAGTAGCTCAATGTGACCAATATGCGGCTTTTCCTGGGGTGGCAATTGTGAGAACCACTCCCATTGTGTGTTGTGTGTAAGCATAACAACAGTGCCTATTCAGAGCACTGGGCTGGCAGCGAATCAAGGTAATTACTGAGGGCAACAAGCCAAAACTCCAAGCTGGATGTAAGTCCAAGTGCCGTGTGCTGGGTGGGAACTGCCTATGCCTCCCCAGCCCTGTAAGATGCTGTGCAGCTCCAGTCAGAAAGCCAGTAAGTGGAACTTCTTTCCACTATGCTGTCTCTCTTGCATTGGAGTATAAATCCCTGCAATGTACCTTGTCTGGGTTCTACCTTGGCCCCTTGTCAATTCCCACTACAGAAAAATCAAAGAACCTGGTTTGGTAAAGCAGCACAATATCCCCACTACTCTGTGCACATCACAGCCTCTCCCTGGATCTCTTTTCTTTATGAGATGAGGAAGGGTGGTGGATACAATTCAGAGAGAATATGGACCCTACATCCCAGTTTGCCCAGAACAGTCTCAGTTTGTGGCTGGTGTCCCAGAGAAATTAAAAATAGCATCTCTTCTGACTCTCCCAAGATGTCCACTTTATAGTACTAGCTATGACCACCATGTTTCAAAAAGCTGCACTAGCCAGCCTCCTGATGGGTAAAATGCTATTGGCACAAAATAACTTACATATGCCTGTGGCCTAGTTCTGAGTTTTAAGCTTGTTGAACTCATTATTTGGTAGGACCATTAAGCTTTTGGCTATAATATATGTTAAAAATATGCATTTCAGGACCTGGTGCAATGACTCAAATAGCTAATCCTCCCCCTTTGAGCACTGGCATCCCATATGGGTGATAATTCTTGTCCTGGCTGCTCTACTTCCTGGCCAGCTCACTGCTTGTAGCCTGGGAAAGCAGCAGAGGACAGCCCAAAGCCTTGAGATCTGCACACACATGAAAGACTCAAAAGAAGCTAGTAGCTCCTGTCTATGGATCAGTTCAGTTCCAGCTATTGTAGCCACTTGGAGACTGAACCAGCAGATGGAAGATCTTTCTGTCTGTCCTCCTCTCTGTGGATCTGTCTTTCCAATATAAATAAAGAATTTTAAAAATACACCTCAAAGATATTTTAAAAATAAAGACACCAAAAGGAACATCTAAAAAACATGATGATGAATCCTGTAAGATTTCTTAAATTTTGACAAATGTATCATCAGATGTCTGGTGATTTCTGAATATCCTAATTCATGAATCTTTCAGAAGACGAAACGTAGCAGGCTGTTCTTGGATTAAGGCCAGTAATGAGAGAGATATAAACCACTCACCTTGCTGGAGGCCTTGTAAAGGCCAGATTGCCCTCTGAAATGCTGTTAAACTTTGATGTTTTGTATGCTATGTGTATGATTTTATAAATATTGCATACATTTACTTTTCAAACAACTTGATATTAAATGGGCTATGTGTTTAAGGATGTTTATTCTGTATGTGTGAAAAATTACGGGTTAAACATTATTTAATTATCTGAACCAATGATCAAAGTGGGGTCTCTGGGTCTATTCTTGTTATAGTTTGTCTTTTCTCAAAATTTTAGGAATTTACATGTATGTTCACACACTGGAAAATCTTGGAGTAAAGTGATAAATGTATTTCTTTACTGTGTGGTAAAGTCATGTGTAATGTAAAATTCCCCTCACATCTCTAATGAGACGTAGGTGGGACTCTTGCCTTTCAAGTCTTTTAAGGACTTGGTAGGGATGCAGGAAAAACAGTGTCAGAAATACCTGGCATGTTACAGTGGCTTCTATTGCTGCAGCTAGCGTGTGGGTAACTGGATATGAAAGACTCTAAAGGATTTCACTTCTGCCGTCCTAGAACTTGGACAATGTGTACCTTCTCCACTAGGGTTTCAAAATATGTCCAAATAGGGGTTTCAATGTGGTACTTTAAAAAAATCTTAATATTGCATTTAATTGATTATGTCAGTCATCTAATATTCCAGATTACAGTGTTGTTCTTCTTATTTAGGAATATAGAGGATTGATAAAAATAGAGCTGAGTAGCATAATTACAGACAAACTGGGAAGGGCAAAGAAAATAGGTCATTCATCTAGCCTAACAACTTGTATATAATTTCCTGAATTACTTAATTTTTAATTTGAGAAGCAGAAAGTTGGAGGCGGGAGGCAGAGGAAGAGAAAAAGACATTGTAACAGAAGCAGAGATCTTTCCAGTGATTCACTCCCAAAAAGCTGACAACACCTATGACCTGGTCAGGCTAAAGCCAGGTGCTTGAAATTCATTCTGGGTCTCCCATGTGGGTGACAAGGGCCTAAGTACCTGAGCTATCACCTGCTACCTCCCAAGGTATGCATCAGCAAGAAGCTGGAGTTGATAGCACAGGTGGGACTTGAACCTCCAGTATGGAATGCAGGTGTCCCAAGATGCCAGCCCTCCAAATTACTTTTTTAAAACACATTTTTAAATGATTCATATAAAGAATACATGCTCATTGTTGGACGTGTAGGTAAGAAATATTGAAGTCACAGCCCTGAGACAGTGTTAGCATTGCCTCATAATGCCTGCTAGTTTGTTTTATGTTGTAGTATGAGAGGACACGTTTATGAGTTTCGTGAGTAGTATCTGATTGCTTGAAATGGCTCAGAATGCAAAGCTTTTATTGTATCTTTATTATATGTTTTCTTTTTTGAGCAGGAGAGAGAGAGAGAGCGTGCTCCCATTCCCTGGTTGACCCCCACACATCCACAATTGCTCAAGGTTGCATCTCAGAATTGGAAGCTGCACCCAGGTCTCTTTCCCCCAAGTGTGTAATAGGAACCCAATTACCTAAACCATCACTGCTGCCTCCCAAAGTGCTTATTAGCAGGAAGCTGTAGTCCAAACCCAGAGCACAGAGTCAAGCCTGCTCGACTTGCGTGTGGGATGTGGATGTCCTGTCTGGTATCTTAACTGCCAGGCTCAATGCCTGCCCCTGTTGTGTATTTCCATAAACGTTTTCCAATCAATATGAGCAAGAGGGAAGAACTTGATGGAAGAGATCCCAGCTGATTCCCTCTGGTCAGCAGGAAATTTGGAACTGCCCAACTTCCTGGTTTTTTTCTTCCATATGTTAACTATATCTCACCCATATGTAGAGGAAAGCTGTTAATACACCTGACTATAGAGTAGGATACCAATGCAGACAAGGAGGTGTGTTACAGAGAGCTGCTTCAGTCTACACCAATGCTTTCATTCCTATATTTAGGCAGCCATTTATTTGAGTCCTTGAAAATAGTAACAGTATGGTGAACTTGAATATTTATTTTTGCTATCTGTGTGGGACAAGCTGCTTCCCCAGTTGCCGGATGGGCTAAGGAGGGAAACAGCATGGTGTTTTCCTTTGAGCTTGAGTTCCCCTTCAAGAAGAGAATGAGGAATTATGATAAGTGTTGCCATAGCTTAAAGCTAAGGAACACTGGGTATGCCCTTCCACAGAGCCCACACCTTGCACATAATTAGCCAGACTCCAAGGAAACAAGTTATTTCGGGCAGCATAGCTCAGGATCAATCATAGGCTGTTTGTTGGGAACCTTCATATGGTTGCTTACCACAAAGTCCTCAAAGGAATTCTCCACATAGTTTGTGCCAGCTTAGGGGAGGCAGGTGCAACCCTGAGGAGCACCCAGCTTGTGACTTCCCGGCTCCTGGCTCTGAATGTCTTTAAGCTTGGATCTTTCAGGTGATCCTCTTACTGCTTTGAATATTTTTAAATGTATTTTTTTCTTTTTAATGTAAAAATAACTTAGACTTTGAAGATATTTGTTTTTGTTAATTTAACATATGCTTCCAACCCCAAAATAGTTTAAGAATCTGAATATTTTTAACCTTAACTGCATTGGATTTGACATTCAAATCAGGAAATTTCATCAAGATAATTTATTAACTCTGCTTTAGAAAAGAGAATGCTATACATTTTTTAATAATAAAATTTTTGTCTCAGGAATTAAAAAGCCCTTCTTGGAGAAGAGAAAAGCTAGCTTAAATTGCATAGTATCCCAGGAATAGTTGCTGTGCTGCCTGCGTTGCTTAACTTGAACTTGAGGATTATGAAAAGGTAGAGTTGAATAACTGTAGCTAACAAGTAAGAATGAGGAGAATGATAAAGACTCTGGTTTGTGGTAATAAAATATGTGTGGGGAATTTTCCTGAGCAGGGAGGAAATTAACAGATGAGGATTTGACTTTGACTTCATGATAAATGTAAGATATTTATAAAATAGAAAAATACGCTAAGTAATTTGACCCATATCCAGGATTATTTATGGTGATCAGGACAAGAAGGAACATTGAGACACAGAGTGTTAAATGGGGTGTTTGACGTGGAGTTGGAATGCAGTAGGCCTGGATTTAGGACAGTTGTCCATTTCATAGACAACAGAAGCACACTCTAAGATCAGCAAATGATGGGCTTGGGTGAATTTGTTATCATTCTTACAAATTCCTATTTATTTTTATTGATATCAATGAAATTTTGATCAGAACAGTGAATGTTTTAGCTTATTCAAGTGTTGACCTCTTTTCAGAAGACTAACAGTATGTACTGAAATACAATTCTCAAATAGAAATCTCATAAGTATGCATGCTCTTCAGAAAGTTTATAGAAAAAATCCTAATTTACAAAAAATTATGGACAGATCATGGCACCAATATAAACTTATCTTTCAAATCCATTTTTCACCAAACTTTCTGAAGTCCCATTATATAAAGATTAAATATGTGTTAGAAATGTGACTTAAACTCTTTAATGTGAAAATTGGTAAGGCAGCATCAGCGTTCCAAAAGACATTTCAAAGTATGCACACATTTGTTGATTAGAAATTTTGAAATAAATGTCCAAATGGAGACACACTTGTTCTGTGGGAAAATGGAGGTTGTCTCACTGAAGAGACTTCATAGGCATGTGTGTGGACAGTCATTCTGCCTTGCTATCAGTTGTCTGTGACTTTGAGTTGTAGAAGAGCCTTGAAAGAGTGCCATGAGCAGTGTCCATGGGAGCACAGCTTTTTCCCTGTGTAAAATAGCCCTATTAGCAATTTTCCCCTTTCCAAATGCCATGACTTTAATCTGTTCCATCCTTTCAGGAAGTTATAGGGAAGATTATATGTAACCGGGAGATCAGTCCTCAAATTGAAATTAGCCTGAGGTAGCTTACTTAGATGAAACACTGAAAGCATTTACTCTTTTCCTAGCATTTTCCTTTTTGTATTCTGAACAGCCTGTGGGCTAAAGAGTTGTATTCTGAACAGCCCAAGGAAGCCAGTCTGTGAGCCGGAGAGAAAGGCATGGTTCGGAATTTCTGATTAAAACCAGACCTGGATAAGATTATCTTCGCAAGTGCTGAGAGCCAACTTTAACCTATCCACTTAAATTGTCATCCATTTAGTTTGATGCTATTTTTAGACACCCTCAGCAGTGAGGTTGCCTGTTATTTTTACAAGGTATCTCCCTCTCTCTTTCTCACTCTGTCTCTGGCAAGATTACCAAATCTTAACATTTAAGGATTCTATAGTTAGGTTTGACATGATAATAATTTTTAAAACCCTGGAACTTGAGCAGAGATCCATTTTTAGCCTCTCAGTCTTTTTAATTTCCCTATCAAGGAAAAAGCTGTCTTTCTTCATCTATATCAGAAAGTCTGACACACAATATCATATTCAACAAATAGTTATTTTAAAACAAGATTTATTTCATTTATTTGAAAGACAGAGCTAGAGCGATCTTCCATCTGTTGATTGACTCCCCAGATAGCTGCAGTGGTTGGTTCTTAACCAGTCAAACCCAGAAAGCTGGGACTCCATCCAGCTCTCCTATGTGAGTAGCAGAGGACCAACCACTTGGGCCATTTCCCACTGCCCTCCCAGACACATTAGTAGGGAACTGGAGCAGAGGATGAACAGCCAGGATTTGAACTGATACTCATAAAGGATGCCAGTATCACAGGAGTGGTTTAATCTGCTGTACCTCAATGCCAGTCCCAAAAAGATAGTATTGAACACCCCTGTGTTCCAGGCACTGTCCAGAAGACCAAAAGTCATGCTTTCCCTTATATTGCTTTCACCAGCATTTCTTAGAATTTTCAAGTAGTAGTGATAATGGTGCCTTGGAAAACCCTTGAGTTATCTGTGGGCTTTCCTTCTTCTTGAGATTCTTAGGGAGAGTATAGTGGCAGGTAATTCTGAATTTTGTTGGGCACTTATAAGTAGCCCTAGAACTCAAGTTAAAAGCAGTGTTTAATACAGTTGAGGAAGTTCCAGTTTATTTATGACTTAGATCAACACAGTTTAAACTTGGGAGTATTGATACTTCGAATGGATATTAGCTCTGTATGTGACCGTAGATTCTTACATTCACAAGAATGCTTGTGGGTCCCTATAGAAGTGAAGAAGACAGGATTGGTGGTTATGGTGTTTATTTTGGGCTCATATTTTTTTTATTCATAATGTGTATGTATGCCTGCAGGCACTTAAAGGCCTGAGAAATCAATTGTGGGCTTTATTTTACAGTGGAATGCAATGGACTTGCCTTTTTACAGTAGTAAGTTTTAAGATTCTTTACCTGTTGTGTTATGAACCAAGTCCTGGTCAAATGTAGTGCACTGCTTCGTTAGGTTTTAACCACCTTTTATCAATCAGTGTTTTTTGAAAATAGCATGGGTAAAATGTTTTTATACCTTTAACACAACCTAATGTTCTGAACACTTTCTACCCTGAGGAACGTAAGATACGCTAACGATGTTGTCCATGCTCTGAACTGTGTGTGAGCACTTGTGACAGACCTGGAACAGATGAAGACTTCACAGCCCCTGGATTAATGGTTCCCAACCCTTCTTACCTCCCCTTTATTTCTATGCAGCAGCATGCTATGATTGTGCTAAGCAATAGCAGGTTAAGCCTTGGTTATAGGAGGCGGACTATCTTCTGTGCTCCAGTAGGCTTAAAATGTGACTATGTGGTATCCTTATTTTTTCTGAGCAATCTTGCCTTGACTGAGCAAAGTTCTGAAATGACTTGATTCTTTCCTTTTATACCCCAGAGCACCTCAGTTTCTTTGAATTGCCACCACCAAAAGCTGTTCTTTTATGTTTCTGTGGCATTTAGATTTGCAAAAAAAAAATTGTTTTCCAGGTTTTTATAATCCATCATAGCTTCCAAACAACCAATTGAATCAGGGCTAATAACAGAGTTCCTAGGAGAAGAAACAAGCTGTGAATAGATGAGCAGACCTGCCCAGAACAGACAGAAAACTGATACCTAAACCAGGTCTCAGGATAAGGCCAGCTGTTTTTGAGGAATTGCTAAGCCAAACTTGTCACCTACTACAGTATCTAATAGGATTTTGAGAATTAACCAGAAATATGTGAGCAGAGAATAAGAAGACTGCCCTTTATGTAGTTAGATGCCTGGCTATGTAAAATGTAAAAACATCTAGGCCTCAGATAGACTTCCAAGATGTCTTAGTAATTGCTCAAAGGATGCCCAGCATCTTAGGACTAATACTTTCATTGTGAAGTCTTTGCTTTGATTAAATTTTTTGGATGAATAATTGAAAGATGTACTTGGGTATTTCTCAAAGCTGAAGGTTTGGAATTTTTCAGATCAGATGGTTATTCAGTCCTCATTATCCTGAGCAAGTAGCTACCAGGGTAGATGACTTTCCTGAGGACTTCCTTAATGCTAGTGTAGATGTCTGTGGAAAGACCTTGGAAATGTCTGCTGAGGCGAAACACTGGACAAAAGGAGACTCTATGATGGGCTATGTCAATCAGCGGATTCTTCAACAGCCTCATCGTGCCAGGAGTGGCAAGATTGGCAGCGATGCATAACTGGTGAGCTACCGGGACCACTTGAGCAAGGATCTCAGAACATGCCCTACATCCAGGACCTGGGGTGGGTGGGAGACTGGGTGGGGCTTCTCCCTCAATATTCCCTTTAGCCCTTGTAACTTTTTACCCTAATCAACAATGTAAAGATTGCCAAAAATATAATTTAAAAATACAAACAAACAAAAAGACAATGTCTGCTGAGAAGGATCTGACTATTTAAATCAAAGGTCATACCACTGGTTTCTGACGTGGTTCTGGAGTGGCCTGTTGATTGGGGTTTTGTATTGTTTGTGAGGGTCACCCAGTGTGGATCTTGACATGATGTGTGTACCTTTAAGGCCTTCCTGGCTGGGATTATAAAGCTTTATAGTAAACTAGGCTTTTCTGCTTTTGCCAGATTCGATCCTATGGAATGCAGGAATGGAATTTCTCCCCTTCCAGAGGTCCAGGACACACTACTCTGAGGACAGAATTGCTTTTCTTCTTCTTCCTCTGTCTTCTTCCTTCTTTCCTGATTTTTTTTGTTTGTGTATTTGGAAGGCAGAGAGAGAGATGGGGTTTAGGGGGAGGCTTCCATCTGCGAGTTCATTCCTCAAATGGCTGCGACAGCTGGGTCTGGGCCAGGTCAGAGCCAGGAGCCCAAACTTCATCTGGGTCTCTCATGTAGATACAAGTGCCCAAGGATTTAGTCCATCTTCCACTACTTTGCCACACAGAGTTGGAAGTGGAACAGCCAGGATTCAAACTGACATCCTTTTGGGATGCAAACATCACAGGTGTTGCCTTTTCTTGCTATGCTGCAACACAGGCCTCAAGTACTTTCTTACTGAAGCTGAAAGTATTTTAACTTCAGAGAAATGAATCTGGCCTTCTTCTTACCTCAGTAACCTGAGATTGCAAAAAATATGCTGGAGCCACCTCCCAACCTGCTTTTCAAAATCTAATAAAAACCAGGAAAGTGATTAGAAGTCATCCTAGCAAATTGAAAATTTGTGAAATAGAAAATACTGTTATGGTGATTATTATAAATAGAGAAATAAACAGAAAATCAGCTTAATGTAATTGTGGTTTTACACAAGTGCAACAGTATAGGTGGTGTTGCCCAAAGAACTTTTGCGTTTCTTCTCCACTTGATAACCTCTTGAACTATTTCATAAAGCTGTTCCCCACCATGTCAGTCATTTCTTTATAGCCAGCAGAGCATCAGAACATGAAGGACAAATAATTGGATGGTGTCAGAGGCAGAAATAGAACTTAAGTTTTGAGCCATGGCTGCAGGCCAGACCAGGCGTGCATGTCCTCCCTGTTCCCTCTTGGGGAGTCAGTTGCCCCTCCCTGTAGGATCCAGGCCAGGACAAGTATCAGGGTAAGTTCAATATCAACAGTATGGGCCTCTAAATGTCTTGACTCCCTGAACAGTAAGTGATATGCAGCCTCAAATTGAAGGTCACTGAGTGCTCCAGATTGTTTCTGACCTGACCCATTATGGATGTAAACACCGTAGGTTTGTTGGACTGCCTCCTCTTGAGCTTCATGCTGCCGCTCTGCCTCAAAGTCCCAGGCCTCCATACACCCCAGCCTGCTTCAATCAGAGAGAGCCTTATGTCAATCATGAATTTCTGTTTTTAGGAAATGTGATCTGAAAAGAGGATATTTTTGTAATTTTTACAGAAAAGACTATTGTGGGGGAAAAAAAGCACAATGAAAATGTATTGATATGTTGTCAACATTTTTGTTGAGAGAAAATGGAATGGTAAAACTTGAGCTGAGAATCTTTTTGGAGTCAGCCTGAACTTAGAACCTGCCTGCTAAAGACTTTAGGAACTACATCATATACATCATTAATTTATTTTATTTACTATTATATTTGTTTATTTTGGTCCTCATTTGTATACCCAGGTAACAGTTTGTTCCAGGTAGAATTGTGTATGATATGATCACAGAATCTTTTCCATCTTCACCCTGTGGGACAGTCTACAATGTAAGTTGCCAGGACTGTAGGCTTAATTGGTTTGAAAAGAAATCAGATACAGATGTGCAGCAGTTGAATAACACCAATTTCTCAATAATTCAGTTAGAACATACATAACTTTCTTTCTGTTAAACACATTGTATTGCTTGTCCTATTATATAATTTCACTCGGAAAAAGGCAGAAGTCTTGCAGTTCCCATGGAACGGTTACTCTGCTAGTAAGTCATATTATGAAAGATGGGATGAGGCTAATTCCTGCTAATGAGGTAAACTAGTTGTAGATATGCCTTCCCAGGCATATTAACAGAAAACTGGAATAGAAGCAGAGTAGCTGGGTCTTGAACTGGTACTCTTCCATGGGATGCTGACATTTTAAGCAGTAGCTTAATCAGCTACTCCACAACACTGGCCCCTCTGGGTTATAATTTTTCAATAGGTTTTTAAAAATGATGTACAAAATAATGTGCATAACATGATTTGCATTAAAAGGAACACCCTGAAAATAAGTGTCTCTGTGTTAATACATGTATGAAAGCTGTTGGAGGGATACATGATACACTGAAGCCCCTTGGTTCTTTCTGAGGCAAGACATTGGATAGATGGGAAACAAGGATAACAGGAAGGGTTTGCATTTTATATAGTTCTGTAAAGCCATTTGGATTTCTAACTGTTGGAACTATATTTTTCCCTTTTAAAAAGTAATTATGAATTTAACATTTAAATAAATAAATAATAGATTCCCATAAGAATGTTACCTTCAGCAAAAAACAAAACAAAACAAAACAAAACAAAAATTCAAAAGCAGTGATTTAAAATGACTCTATCTGGGACCAGCACAATGGCTCAATTTGCTAATCCTCTACCTGCAAACACGGCGTCCTATATGGGCACCAGCTCATGTCCAACTTGCTCCACTTCCCATCCAGCTCCCTGCTAATGCACCCGGAAAAGCAGTGGAATATGGCCCAAAGCATTGGGACCTTGCACAGGCATGAGAGACCTAGAGGAGACTCCTGGCTCCTGGCTTCAGATCAGATCAGCTCAGGCCATTGTGGCCATTTGGGTAGTGAACTACCTGATGGAAGATCATTCTCTCTATCTCTAATCTTCTCTGTGATTTTGCCTTTACAATAAAAATAAATGAATAACACTTAAACGCAGTAACCACAGGCACATGTGTTTTCTGAGTGCTTGAATGATAGCTAGTACAACTGCAGAGCCAAAAGTTACATATCCTTTCATCTTCATTGATTTCAATAGTTGCTACCAATTAGTTCAATAGGGGCCACCATCCATACTGAGTATCGATCCAAACTGTATACAAAATATCTTTTCTGTTTAGGTCTGTTTTGGTTTAAAGAGTTTGTTTCTTTTAGGAAAGACAATTATTATTAAGGCCCTCAGTTATTATTGCACGTACAAGAAAACACTTGCATTTCCTCCTTGTCTTTAACTTTAATGACATGACATAATTCTGGAAGTCAGTGACTTTTAGTCAGACTTGACAAACCTCTTTACTACCCAGAAGAATCAATTGTTAAGGACACTTTGTCCTTTTGTAGTCTTACTTGGGGGCAGTCTGCTTTGGAATGGTTGATTTTCTCATTTTGGGCACAAACCTAGTTTCTCCAACCCCTGTTCCTCCACCCTGGAGTGTCACGTGACAGACACTTTGTTCTCAAGCCCAGCAGCTGTCGGAAGGCAGAGGGACAGTTTGCATTCTTGGCCAGCAGCTGCCAGAATCATTTCTAATCTGGTGCTGGCAGGAAATAGTGCACAAGTGGAAGCTGAGTTAAAAGAAGCGTGAAAAATAGACAGAATGACTGTGAATGCCACTTAATATATCATCCATTTTCCATTGAAGCTTGCCCCCAGTAATTGGTTAACACCATGTAATTGTGAGCCCTTCTAGGTTAGGACTCCATCAAGTCATATTTGAAGTCCAGAGTCCTGTTTAAGGCTTAGGAAATGTGAGTTAGGATGTTGGTGTCATTAAAAAAATCATATATTTAAAAAATCAGTGGCCCAGAGCGATGGCATAGTGGTTAAAACATCAATTCAGTTATTAGTTTAAGGTTATTGTTCATCTGAGGTAAACTAGTTGTAGATAATGTTACTCAATGTCAGCCTCCCTGTGGTCTAAAGTGAAGCATTTTGAATAACATTCTTAAAATATTATCTATCCATAAACTTATTTTTGTTGTATGCAGTAAATAAAACCCATGCTAATATGAGTTTTGCTTCCCCACAAGAAGAGAGGTTTTCAGAAATCTATAGGTTATAGAAACAGTGCTGTTTTTCTTAAATAAAGAGCAGAAATTAGATTGGGATAGCGAATAAATGAGTTTTATCTCTACAGAGGAAATTTTGCTAAAATCTTATCTTTGGGTTTTTAGTTCTTCATTCCACCATATTCTGCTTTCTTTTGAAGGCCCAAGCAGTTGCAGACCCATGAAGTGTGATGTGTCAGGTGCCGAGTATAAGAAAGTGGTTTGACCTCTCATCAGCTTGTGCTAAGTAGAATCTGGTTTTTATTGCAGACCTTCACTGCCTGGTGTAATTCACATCTAAGGAAAGCTGGCACCCAAATTGAGAATATCGAGGAAGACTTCAGGAATGGTCTTAAACTCATGCTACTGTTGGAAGTCATCTCAGGTTGGTGTTACACCCCAAGCCTGTACTTTGTGTAATCAGTAGTAAGCTTCTATTCAAAAATGACTGTATAAACATTCCCTTTAAACTTAGCTGGGTGAGAACATGGTATAGTTGGTAAAACAAACAAACAAATTAAAAAAAAAAAAAACCTTTACAAAGAGCAGTTGGCCTGGAATTACCCTATTTAGAATTGACTTATTAAAATGATGTTTAGACCTCCCAACCTCAAGACAATATGACACTTTTTTAAAAAATAAAGACATGTGTGTGATCACCAACCAGGCTACAGCAGTTCAGCTAGTGTATATTCCAAAATTATTGTGTATCCAAGATGCCACTATATTTTTCAGC